GGGGGGGTCTGCAGCAGCGTCAAGGGGATCCAAGGCCGCATGAGAGGAGGCAAGTATTCAGTATTCACACCCGTGTATTCAGACCGTGTACTGGTCGTGTATTTGCGAGAAAAAAATTCAAAAACTACACTAAAAAATCATTTTCTCTTCGTATTTAATTTGTGTAACGTGTTTGTTGTTGTGTCAAATTCTCCTTTTTACTCAAACACAAATTATAAACATTAGAAAACCAATACAAGAAATACTGCCCCCTGGTGTCTGCATATGCCCTTTTATTATCGTTTTTTTTTTTGTCTTATTTTTGAAGTTACATGCACACGACGTTCCTCGGTGTTCTGAGGTGACGTAGAACCACCGACGAACACGGGGGAGCAGTTCTGTGTGTCAGACACGAACTCGTTTTTGACTCAAAGTCTCGTCTTCTCTTCCCTGCCTCCAGACAGAAACGTGGAGTTCCTCCTCTCCGGAGACGTTTTGTCGTTAGCGGTGACGAGGGCGGAGCTTCACCTGCATATCTTCACCCCGCTCCACCTGGACGTTCGGCCCGTGCTGCCGTCCAGGGCGGAAGACGGTCTTCCCACCAGGTGACGATTCATTCGATTTTCATGAGACTTAAACATCACAGTCCAGAGAAGACCGCCCCCTTGTGGAGGCGGAGCTACGTCCTCAGTGCTAGTCCTTCTTCGTCTGTTTTAAAACTGTTCTCTTCCCTCCTTCAGGTACAGTCTGTGGTCAGAGGGAACACGAGCGGAGCTCCGGGTGGACTTGCTGTTCCTCCTCCGCGGCCTGCAGGGGGCAGCAGGCGGCGCCAGCGGAGGAGGGGGTCACAGTGTGGTGAACATGCGGCGGATGGCCTTCATCCAGAAGCCCGCTTCGCTCGCTCTTCAGGAGGCCCGAGGTCAGACACGGGGGGGCCGTGTCCTCACCAAACTGCCTGACCTGGAGCTAGGTGTGGTCCTGAGCTGCAGCCACGGTGGGGCAGCGGTGTCCTGCGGAAGCGGCGGGGGGCGACTCCCC